ATGGGAAGGATGAAATGCTACAGATTTTAATGAACTGGAACCTTTCACTTAGTCTGGGTCCTGAGGCTGCTGTCCAAAGTGAGGTTTATGGATTGTTTACTACTTCTTTCTCAGTTTTGTTTCCTCAGGATTCTGTTTAATTAGCTAACTGAACCAGAGATGGTCCTTCTTGGAAACATGGTTTGAAATAATTAAGATCAGCTGAAACTTCACTGCTTTATTTTCTGTAACAGGAGATACATCTGTGTGTTACTTGTGACGTTTAACACTTCAGTTGGATTTGCCTTCTCTGCTCTGCTCTCTTCCCATATATGATCACTTTGCATGTAGTCAGTAGTTGCTTACTCCTGTACGGATTTTACATTAATTTGGGAGGTCCAAGTAGAGAAGTTTTTGAAAACAGAGACCATGATTTTGTGTTTGATTAATTATTTTAAGTGAGTGAATGAAAAGAGGAAATAGAAATAGCTCTGAGTAGATTTATGTTTATTTTCATTTCTTTGGCTTGAGTGGATAAGATTCCTAGAATATTAGACCTGTAATATGAAGTAATTAAGCCAAACTTTTTCATAGCTGATAAAATGGCATAGGAGAGCATGATTCATGGTAAACAGTGGTAGAGACAGGACCAGAAATCAGGTCCACAGACTACTTGTCCAGTGATTTTCCTACTGATTCTAAAAAAAGTTTTGCTATTTCTGGCTGTGGTTTCTGTCTGGTGTTCTCTGGTTCTCTTTCTGCCTTGTATGTGCACACTTGTCTACTTCCACCTACATCTACCTGTTTCCAAACATGTTCAAAATGACTATTTTCTTATACAAATGAAAACAATTTTTATCCCCTTACTTTTGTTAGAATAGAATACTTGGGTTTCATTTCCTGCAGAGAAGTTAGGATATTCTTCTCTCCCAGCCCCTAACTCTTTAATTACAAACTTCCATTAATGTGTCTTGGTTGGAATATACAACTAAGACTGAGACTCATTGAGAATTTAAGTTCAATTGGCAGGTGAGGATGAGGGGATATATTTGTTTAGCAGATGAACTGCATATATAAATCACAATTGAAATTTTATTCTTGAGTCTTTTCAGATAGCCAGCTCTAAGTGTGTTTTTCTTTATCTTTCCTACTTACCAGGTTTGTGTAAAAGATTGGTTCTTCAGGGCTATCACATTCTGAGTTGTAAGCTGCCCATTGATTTTTATTGAAACCCTAACGAGGCTTGTGTACCTAGGGGCAAATTCTGTAGCCATTTCTGAAAGAACCAAATTCCATGTTCTGTGAGAACTGGTGTAAAACAGTTCTCTTTTTCTTATAAAAATGATTTGTCTTGTTTCTTCCACCAGAATGTATTGTGAGTTTCTGAGGGCAAGATGAAAATGTACTCATTTTTGTAAATTTAATGTGTTGGACATAGTACCTGGCCCATAGTAGGTGTTGTTTACATTTTTGTTTAGTCCACAAATGCCAAAACCAAACAAACAAACAAGCAAAAAAATACTATGTTAGTAGCAGTATTGTAGCATCTGATTTTCTTCGTGGCCAGAATGTTAGGAAAACTGGCCTCCGCCAGAAAGGCCTGTACTGGGAACCGAAGTTAGGGAATATACACTGTTTTTTCCCCCTTTAAAGCATAATTTTTTAGTGTTCATTGTTGAAACTGAAAAAAAAAATATGTAGATAATTAAAACATTTGTAAAAATTATTTCAAGATCATACCACCACCTCTAGGTCACCACAGTATTATTGACATTTTAGTGAGCTCGTTCCCAAACCTTTTCTTTGCATCCTCTTTTGTTTTTGTTTTTTTGCTTTTTTTGTAGCTGGACAGTGGATCTGAACCCATGACCCTGGTGTTATAAGGCTTTGCTCTAACCAACTGAGCTAACCGGCCAGCCCTTTGCACTCTCTATTTGGATATTTGTGGATATTTATCTTGTAGTCTACATCACCTTTGCAGAATCGTGAGAAAATGTGCTTGTCTTTCTGTAGAGCAGCCCCAGTAGGGTGAAGTGATGTGGTAGTATAGAAGAAGCACTGAATGGAGCTTTCCATTGTAATGTCTGGGGTCAGGTTCCAGTTCTACCATGTATTTTCTTTATGATCTTGGGGAAGTGATTTAACTTTTCTGAGCCTCAATTTTCTCTTCTGTAAAATTTGACGGTATCAACCTCTTTGCATCATTATCCTATGAATTGAGATAAAAATAAGTATGCTCATAATGAGTACTCAATAATTTGTGTTTATTTTTAGGAAAAAAAAATATTCCTTATTTTCTTTTCATGTTTTCACCTTTTTTTTTTTTTAGTGAACAGCAAGACTGTGAAATTGCTCAGGAAATTCAGGAGAAGCTGGCTATTGAGGCAGAGAGACGGCGCATTCAGGAGAAGAAGGATGAGGTACAACTTAGTTAATGCCCCTTCAACCCATGGAGGAAGGGGTGCTCAACACTGGAGCAGTTACTTTTTGTATTCATGGGCTTAACATAGGGTTGCTGGATGGGCGGTAGAAAGCTCTTCATTTGGGGTGCCGTAGTGCAAGCATTGTTCCATGGGCCTCTGTTTATTACCTTGTGATTAGTTATGTAAGTGGTGAAGTCTTGAGAGATGATAATGGATAAATTGACATAAGGTATTGTTGGGAAAATATAGGAAAATGATCAGGGCCCCTCAGATGTTCAGAATGTTGCCGAGCATTTGCTGTGAATAGGTTGTGTGGGTGGAGTTAGTGCACCTGCACAGCACCACCACCTTGGCTGGAGTTTACTGCCTCATGGTCACTGCCGCATACAGCCATACTTTCCAACCTATGGCTTCCAAGGACCTGTTTGCTGGTTGCCTAGCTCATAGACCTGTGTGTAAGAGGTCTGGTGACCCAGCCTGGTGTGTGACGGGTCTGGGGACCCAGCCTGGCATGTGAAGGGTTTGTGACCCACTCTGTGAACGGGCTTGAGGGGTCTGTGAGTACCAGACCCAGCCCTAGCTCGACAATTGGCGACACTGGCAGGATTCTGACAGAGCCATAGCACTACAGTTGGCCCAGTCAGCAGGATTACGGGCAGGTAAAAGAGCTCCACAATTGGCATCATGAACAGGATTAAGAACGCTACAATTGGTGACATCGGCAGGATTCCGACATTACCCATAGCACTACAGGTGTGAATTAGTTTCCTAGGACTGCTGTAACAAATTACAACAAACTTGGTAGCTTAACCCAACAGAAATTTATTCTGTCACAGTTCTGGAGGCTAGAAGTCTAATCAGGTAGAAGTAGCTGGGTCATGCTACTTCTTGGAAAGGATCCTTCCTTGCCTCTTTCTAGCTCCCAGTGACTTCTGGAAATCATTGGCATTCCTTGGCTTGTAGCTGCATCACTTTAGTTTCTGCCTCCATTGTTGCATGGCCTTCTTTCCTGTTTATATCTTTGTGTCTTTCTGTTTTTTTATGAGGATAACAGTCATTGGATTGAGGACTTATCCCAATCTAGTATGACCTCCGCTTAACTAATTATACCTGCAAAGACCCTATTTCCAAATAAGATCACATTCTGAGGTTCTGGGTAGAATTGAATTTGCGGGGGGGGCACTATTCAGCTCACTACAGCGTGTCTTTTCCTTGGTTATTCTTGCAACTTTAGAGAGAGAGCAAGCCTTGAGCAGAGCCTGAACAGGGGTTAGGGTGTAGCCCTTGTGAGCGGCCAGGAGTCGGCATTGCTCTCACCCTCTCTCTCCTTTTTCCTTGTGGGTTCACTTTCCTATGATCTCTTGGCCCAAAAAACTACTTTATTTCAATTTGTGTGTGTGTGCGTGTGTGTGTTTATATATAAATATTTTTTTTAATATGGAAAGTACTACTTTTATTTATTGGTATACATAAGATGGCCAACTCTGAGCATCTGGTGCAGCTCTCCAGCAGAGGCTCTGGTGCCTGCATATGGGCACACATGTTCTTCTGGGCAAGAACCACTGGGGGTCATGAGCACTAGGAAAAACAAGCAGCACAGCAAAAAGCCAAAGTGGTGGCAGGGAGTGAAGGAGTTTGCAGATTCTGACTGAGGAATTGAAGTAAACACAAAGGCACCAAATTGGGGTTTGGAGAGACCTGGCTGCTGGGGACGAGTCTGGTCAACCCAGCCAGTCAGGGACCAACATCCTTGTTTCTCCAACAGCTTATGGAACCTCAGGGTCACCCCCAAGGGCTTGGAGAGCTGCTGTTAGCCTGACTTTGGAGCTTCTAAGTGAACACTGTGCTTGGTGGGAAAGGAGCTGCAAAACTTGAGGTTGTCAGCCCTGCTGAGAGGGAGGCAGTGAAGGAGCTGGCTGGAGACAGGAAGGGCCAGAGCCCAGTGTGCTGGAATCCATTTTTCCTGGGCTGTGCAGTGAGCTGGAATCTCTGCCTCCCCTGTCGCAGTGGTGCAGGGAGCAGTCCTTCCTCTTACTGCCCACTCCCGAGTTCCATCCTGGCTGTCTGGGACTCGTAGCTGTCTAGTCTGCCAAGGTGGACATTATTCCTGCTGCAGCCAGCCTGGCAACCACGTGCTAGCCGTGGAGACTGCATTTGGATGGCCCTCACGCAGTATGAACGTGGGTCCGTCCCTGAAGGCACACTGTTAAGATCAGTTTGGCTACACAAAGGCCATTTCTTCCTATTTGGCGTGGAGAGTGAGATACTTTGGAGATGTAGGGACTTGCAGCCTGGTAAGCCTGCTTCTTAGAAACCAGAGACCTCTCTCCAAGTTTGGGCTTGTTTGGGCAGTTGTTCCCTGCAACCAAGGCTGCTGGAATAAAGAGCCCCACATCTGCTGGCTGGCTGGCTTTAACCAACAATAGAAGCAGAAACGATTATAGTCTTCACCCTCTCCCGCTTTTCGTTTTGGCATTACAAAGACCCAGAGACCAGGTTGCCCACCACTGCCACCTCCTGGTGCACCCACAGGCCCACCACTCTGCCCCAAGCTGATGTCTCAGAAGACAAGTCTGGTGCTGGTCAGGTATCATAAAAGGTAGCTCTGAGACTCAGCTGTCTTGGGGGTGGGGGGCTCAGAATCTTGAGTGTTTGTCTTTTTCCCAGAGGGGCGTGAACAGAGCCTCAAGGCCAAGGCTGGCAGATTTGGCCTTTTGGGGCCCTCTGCCAGGTGGGCTGTTCAGACGTTGTCCCACTCCCGAAATGGTACGAGTATATTGCTAAAGGTGTAAGTGAAGAGATTGTCAGGGAAAGTGGCCCCAAAGGAATGGCCCAACTACCTGGGCAAGGCCGTGCACATGCGGAGTGAAGGTTAAGAGGGTGGGAACTACAGCAAATGCCTGCACAACAGCCAGAAGTGCAGGGCAGTAGCCAAGCAGTAGTTGGATCAACTGCAGCAGCTGCCTGCATCCCACCCTCTGGTGGCTCCCAGGGGCAGTTTGGGGGCCCTGCAAACTAGGCCAGTTCTTTATTACTAGAAGTTAAATTCCAGCTAGTGGAAAGAAGCTCACACTCCCAGGGCCCCAACATAGAAACTCTCTCTCTGAACAACTCTACTTATTCTCTGCCAGACAGAGCTCTAGGCATGTGGAGGTGTCTGTTTCCCTATGCTGAGCCCCAGCAGCTTTGACTCTCCAATTTGGCTGAGTTCTGGTGGGCCCCGGTCAGGGGCGGGTTTGGGTTTGGAAGGGGACCAAGGTCACTTCTCACAGGGTACAGGCCAGCAGGAAGGAAGGCAGCAGGGACATCCTGCTCCTTTTGCTCCCAAACCCAGAGGCTTTTCAGGTGAAACTGGGCTCTGGGACTAGCGCCCTCCCTACCATACTGGTTGGTCCATTATGTGGGGGCTAAAGATGTTACTCTAAACTAGGTTAGATGGCACTGAAGCCAAGCTCTGAGGTTCCTGATTACGACTGCTATCAACTGTCCTTTTCCATTAAGGTGTCAGCTCTCAGCTGTCAGGACAGGATTCCTACCTCACCCTCGACAACCCAGGCACTGAAGAGGAGGATCTCTGCTCCACCCAGACCCCATCTCCTAGTAACTGTTGCCAGGCAGAGAGACCTCAGTGGACCCCTCCCTGGAGGAGTCCTACTGGGCCTTGCTTCCCCCATCAATAAAATTTCTCTCCTCACCTCTGGGGAGAACAGTCAAGCTGGACCTGGAGAAGCCCCTTCCTCTGCCACCTCTGCCCCAGGAAACTGGGAGCAAAACTGACTACTATTCCATCGTACAGACCAAGCAGGAGCAGTCCAGACACAGCACAGACATGCTGTCCATGCTTAAGAAACCTGCTCTTTTCAAGAATGTTGGCCTGAGCCACAGGTGGTCACCCAGATTTCCTGAGGTGAAACAGAGAGGGGAGCGGAAGCCCAGAGAGGTAGGAACATGGGGGGAGCATTGCCCCAGCAAGGCAAAGATATAGCTCCCTGCCAAGTCCCAGGGCAGGGTGTGGTCTGGGAGAAGTCCCTTCCAAGCCTGCCTGTAAAGGAAACCACCTATTCCTCATCCCCTTACCCAGCCCCTTGAGAGGACATGGTCTGTGGATCATTTAGCAAAGCAAAACCAGAGACCAGGGAAGGATTAGACCCAGGCAGCCACTGGCCCCAGGTCACAGTGGACAAGGGGAGGAAGAAATGCTGAATCTGGATTTGGAGGGAGTTCCGGGTTCCTTGAGCTTAGAGCACCAGCTGCAGGAGGACATTACCATGTGCTTCCTCTGCCAGTCCCTGGGCTTTTTACCTCTCTTCCAGTTCTGCAATTCCTTCTCATGTTCTCTTCTGGAAGGCCAGGAGCAGCCTTGGGTCCAAGATATTCTCCTCTGGCTATCAGCTGTTAATGTATGGAGGACCAGCCGTGCCACTTGACTGGGTACTCCAGCTTGCCTTTGTGGAGCCGCTTGCTCAGGATGCACTTGATGGAGAAGACATGCTTGGCCATGCTGCTTAGCTGCTCCATGCTGCTGCTCCAGCTCCCAACCGCGGTGCCCGCTGCCCTGATTTTGTATATATTTTTTAAGTTGTATTGTTTGTAAATCTAAAAATTACTGAAATTAACAATAGTGTTTTGTTTGTGAGATGACTTGAACTGACAGTTAACTATTATTTGCTTTTATGTTATAGTTTCAACAATTTCAGCTTACATTAATTCTGTGTCTGTTTTCTTTCACACCTATTATGGTGTTCTTAGCCACTGTCTTGGTTTATAATTGAGAAGAAAATGATTTATTACTTTTAATGGTAGGTTTTAATGGTAGGATGACCATATGATTTGTTATGTAACCAGAAACACTTTTGAGGGCTAAAAGGGACACTATTAATAATTACATAAACTGGGACTATACTGGGCAAACTGGCACATGTGATCACCCTATTCCATAGATATGATCAGAGTCATCAGTAAACTAGCCTACATACACTGCTACTTCCACTGAGCTA